GGGCAGGAGAGGGGGAAGGGCGCGACACCAGCAACAGCCTTCAACTATCCATCAAAGCCCCTCAAGGTGGAGGCAAACAGGGCCTCCCTCCCACTCCGTGTCCTCAACCTGACCTGCAAATAGTAGAGAAAGTAGAACCCCTTTTCGTACCTGAGAGGGGAAGAGGGGGGAGAGGGGGGAAAGGGGCGAAAGGGGGGGTAAGGGAAGGGGAGAGGGAGCCCAGGGGGACGAGGAGGAGGACGGGGCGGTCAGGGCTGTGCCCGGATAGGTAAGGGGGTTTCAGAAGATAGCGGGGGGTGGGAGGGGTTCGGGGGGGGGGAGAACGGGGGGGACACTACACCAGGGGGTAAACCAGGATTGGGAGCGACGTGTGGAGGGTTTCGGGTGCTGTTCTTACGAAAAGGGGTAGATGAAGTCGTACAGGTACAAACGCAGTATAACTCTATTCCCTCGACAACGATGTCATTTCGCATTTGTAGTCCAATTCAATTCAATCCATCGACCGATAAAAACCGAAGTAAAACCCTAAAACCCGGGAAGGCCCCCTCCCGCCTTTCCCCCTCCTTTCTCACGGGATGCTCGAGAACACGTCATCTGGATCCACACCTCCTGACAGATCCGGAACCAAGCGAGTGTACGGATTGTCCGCTCCCAACCGCTCAACCTCCGCCGCCAGTTTGATTGCCCCTTGAGCGGCATGAAACTGGAAGGTGGGGTTGCCGTACAGACGACCCAGAATCTTCCGCTCCAAAAACACAGTGAAGCCTTTATTTATGGAGCAGAAAACCCATTACGGAATGGTGGCCAGGTTGCATTGCACAGGGCACGTGAAAATGTTAAATCACGAATCAGCCATACAAAGATGCTAAGCTATCAGGTACCAGCCGGATGGGTTGTAGTGCAGCGAAATGCCGTGTTAAGCGGGAGAGAGAGACGTACGATGGGTTTCTATCATTGCCGTCCAGGGGCGTAGAACGGCGGAGCTGGGGAAGAGGGAAAGCGTTTGTGTATGTGTGTGTATGTATGTGCATATCTGTGATGTTTTTTACACTATGTGTACACGAGTGTGTTGAGGGGGCCTTTCTGTCACTGTCCGGGTGCCGATGAAGTCGGGGGCGACAGCGGTGCCGGTGATGGCGCCTTGCCAGCTTGTTGGGATGGCGACGAGGGGGAAAGGAGGGGGAAAGGAGGGGGAAAGTAAAACCCCATGCAGGTTCACTCATGAGTGGACCTGAGTGGGGTGATCACTCGGGCGAACTTAATACGGGATACGCCCAAGCAGCTAATACACACACACACACACACAAGCAGTCTTTTAATCCTTTTGCACAATTCTTCTTTTCACGACTGGCTTCCTAAACAAGACGCACACACACATACACACACACGCGTCCGTACCTTCGTTCAGCCAGAAGTGCTCCCATGTCGCATTGGTGACCAGGTTCCCCGTCCAGCTGTGGGCTATCTCGTGTGCGACTACGTTGGTCAGGGACCTGGGGGAGAGGGGGACGGGGGGAGGAGTCAGAAAAAGGGAGGGAACAGGGATTACGGGTTGGAATGTGGAGCGGCACGGGGGATATGAGGGAGGGGAACCTCAACAAGATGCAGGTATAGTACAATGCTACGGGGAGGGGAAAGGTGAGGGGCTCTTAGGTCAGGAGTACATGCAAACAAAGAAAGAAGGGAAAAACATGGAAGTACCGCACAAGTGCAGAAACCTGAACCCGCGCCATGTCCAAAAACCAAAATCCCAAATCCAAACCCTACCTGTCACCCGCCAATAGTGTGGGCGTTACAAAGGTAAGACACGGATTTTCCTGGGGGCCCGGGGGGAAACAGCGGCTGTGTATGTATGTATATGTGTGTGTGCCATATATTTGAAAAACAAAGGTCTCCAATTAGGATTTTCCAGTGGTTGGCAATAGGTTGGCGAATGCTGTTTGAGCTGAAATGGAGTGCACTGTCCAGCAAACACAAGGCCGGGGGAAGGCCACTTTTATACACCCGGTACGGCAAGCGCCACACGATACGGCACGGCAGCGCCAACCGGCGGTGGAAGGTCTTTCTCCCTATCCAACCTATCCACGTACATGTGCGACGAGAAACACACAGCACAGCGCAAGATGGGTGAATGTTAGCTGCAGTCAACGAGATACATTTACCGGCACCCAGGCCTCCCCTTGTGTTGCCAGACTTTCACCCGTACATATGCCGTACCATTCCACCGTAGGGGAAGGATGGCGGCAGCAGCAGCAGGTCGTACCGTCCCCACACGTACTCCCCCACGATGGCTTCCCCTGCGAGCACATGAATGCACAAACATGCGTCATGCATGTGTGTGTATGCTGTATGTATGTATGTATGTATGTATGTATGTGTTTCTGGAGTGCTTAAGGACGCCGGATGCAATTAGGCGACTTAGGATTGGTGTGGAGCTTCGGAAGACATCACGTGGAGGAATACGACACGCGCCATGCGAAACCCGATGCACAACACCACCCCTCTCCTCCGTTGCCTCATCTTTTGCCTCATCCTTTGCCTTCTCCTCCTCCTCCTCCTCGTCCTCCTGCTCCTCCTCCTGCTCCTCCCCTTCCTCACATACCTCTCCTTCCGCAGCTTACACCCCCTTCCCTTTGTTCTAGAGGCTCTCTCCCCCCCTCCCCGACCCTCACCCCTCGGCTCCCCTCCTTCGTTTTCTTCCCCTCCTCCTTCCCCCGACCCTCACCCCCCATCCCCTCGTCCCCCGTACAAGCGCCGGAACCCCAGATCAAACCTCACCCGCCTCCAGGAACTTGGCAGTGTCCGCGAACTCGTGTGCACCCGCCTTTACCATGCTAGGCTCCGACCAGACACGAGTACGGGGACCAAGATCAACCGCCACCAACTGCCCAACCGCCAATGCCAACAGATAGGGCGCGATAGGCACCTTGGCAAAGCAGAGAGGGGGGACGGGGGGAGGTGAACTCGGGGGGAAAGGGAAGTCGAGGGGGCGCCTGCGTAGACATTGATGACATGGACCAATGGAAATATGCATGCAGACACATACACGTGCACACATTCACGCGCGCGTGCAACCCACCTTTTGATTGAAGGAGAAGATGGTGGTGGAGTATGGCGGCTGTACGTCAGCCAGGTTGGGAAGGCCTGGTGGAGTGAATGACCACCGGAGGGTTTGGGTGGGAAGTAAGATGTGTATGCATGTATGTATGTATGAATTATGTACATATGTATGGCAAATCTCCGTCCGGGCAATTTACAGCAGATCCACGTAGATGCGATCCAGATGGGAAAACCCCTGGGCGGGGTGCTCGGTCGAGATGGGTGTAATCATGGTGCTGCGGATGGAGCTGGCGGTGGCTATTCATCATGGGCGGTCCAGCTGCATGAAGCTGTCCTGCTTCTATGGGGCCATACTCCCGCCGTCCTTCCTCTCCTGCCATGGAGTCCAATGCCGGGGTTTTGACAGAATTCAAGTCCCCCACCCGTCTACGGGCGGTGTCATCACTGTTTGCATCTGCTCGTGTGGCCGTTGCTGCCAGGATGTTGCTGATCAGTTCTTGTCTAAGGGCTGCTACCCTATCTGTGGGTGGTGCCGGAGGGGACATAGATGCTGCAGACCTCGATGCGGTGTCCTCCCCAGCGGAGCAGGCAGCTTGTAACAGGGATTGGTGGTGGCATTGGTGTGGTGGGTCTTTGGTAGGCAAGGCAGACCACCTCCAGCCCAAGCTCTGTCCATTGTTCGGGTGCTGCCCAGGTACCTTGCCCTTGTGTTTGCCAGCTGACCTTGCATGTTGTTCCGCATTGCAATTCTCAGGGGCCGGCCCCACACTGCACCCTGTCGGGTGGCGCTTGTTAGCAGTAATTGTCGCTGTTATTGAGCACAATTGGGGTGGGGGGTGGCAGTGGGGCAGTCTCCGGGCTGGGAGTCGGCGCAGGAAGGTGCAGCGCCAGGTGATGGGAGTGGGGGAGCTCACCACCTCGGTCTCAGTCTCCATCTCCATGTCCTCCTTGGCTACCTCAATCACCTCATTGGCTTCATCGCCAAGGCCTTGGTTTCCCCCCCCGGGGGTATCCCCTTAAGGCCTCGTTCACCTTGCGTTGCCGCATGGATTGATGACCACCTTATGTTTTCCCTCTGTTGCCATCTGTTACCGAGTCTTCCGCTTGAGGGCTGCTCCTTCAGGGCCATTTCCAGCCGTTCCTTGTGTTTATGCTGCCCGGGCCATTTCTGTGGACTGTTTGCGAGCTGCCTGGGCCGCAGCTGTTTGCATTAGGAAGAACGCACGTCTGGCCTCCCCTGTCAGGTCTGGCCGGAGGATTCTCTTTGTGACTCCCGGGGTCTGAGGCTTGGGTGTGGGCTTGGGTGTGGGCTTGGTCCGGGAAGAAAAAGAAAAGCTCACAGTCTCAAATGTTGTGTCAGGGGACCGGCAGTCGGCAGCCAGCATTTAAAGATGATCTCGGCAAGCTGGCCTCCCTGAGATCCTCCTGCGGCACCAGGGGGGTGCCAAACATCCCCCAACACTATTTCCCCTAGTGTGAACCCTCAATTGCCCGGGCCACGGTTGGCTTTCAGGGCAAGCTAAAATGCCAAATCTGTATATGTATGTTTGTGCGTGGAATGGTGTGGGGGTTATAGAAGTGCCGTTGGGTTGGGGGGTAAGAAGGAGGTTGGGAGATGGGTATCACTTGAGACGGGTATTCACTGAACCCACCATCACCTGAATCTGGAGAAAACATGTAGGGCAACCATGGCCACATAAATATACTCCAACACATACATCAGTAAGGCACGATTTTGGAGCTCTTTAGCGCAGTTGCGTCGTTGATTTAGACTCCTGCAGTTGGGTTGGGAGTGTTCGGGGCGCTGTACCTGCCCTGACTGATCCTCTTCGTATTTCTCTTGATGCCAAACCTTCACAGCCCTTCCCTCTCTCCCCAAACCCGCCAACCCCCCTAATAACCCCAACAGCACTGCAACCCCATTATTGACACGCACCCTCGGCTGGCGGTGGCTCGTCGGGCACAGCACTCATGAGCGCCGTCAGAGGATGCGGTACCCGTACGACAGCACTGTACGACATCTTGGCTCCAGGGGAGTCTTGGCACGGTACGAGCGAGCGTGCATGTATTGCTTGACACTGCGTGAAGAGGTACGGGTACTGGCCCCCGGCGGTCTGGGCTGGTTCCAAGAACTGTACAGCAGAGGATCCGGGGCTTGTCCTGAATCGTACACCGAGGGCCAATCGAGACCCACGGGTCATCTTTAGGGAGGATGGCAGCTCCACTCGCAATGCAGAGCCCAGGACCTGCGTGTGTGTATATGTATGCATGTAATTGTATGAATACGAGTACAGCACATTTGACGGGAAAATAGTATGTCGCACGTAGCGCAGTTACCACATCAAGGCGCTGGCTGCTGCGATATGCATTCCCAAGAGGTTAGCGGGTGGGGGTAAGATAAACCACAAACGAGTGAAGCTGCTGCCAGGGCAAGAGGGGTGGTGGTGTAGGGGGTGGCGGGTTTGTACCTGGGGGGGGAGGAAAGGGACAGGTAAGGGGGCAAAGATAAGTAAGCTAGGACAGAGGATGGTGGTGGAGGAAGACGATCCACTGGCGATACAGGGTGGTGGAACGTATGATAAGGTCTGGTTGGGCGGGGGGGGAAGGGGCCGTCCCAGTGGGGGTGCTAGGGGGGAATCCTCTGACTAGACACGGTACGGCGACTCCAAAAACACAGACATACATACGCAGTCGGTCGGCTTTCGCACCTTATGTGGTTCATCTAGTTGGTACTTGAGGGGGGTGGGCCCTGTCGCCGCCGCCGCCGCTGCGTCCCCCTCTGAGGCCCCCGGGGGTGTCAGGAGCTCGACACGGTGTATTGCGAGGTCGCGTGTGTCCAGCAGCAGCTCCGGGGGGGCATCCACCTCAGCCACCACATCAAGCTGGTAGTGTAAATTGACCCGGGGGTGGGGGGACGTTAGAGGGTGGGGGCTTGGAAATAATGATATAACATAAAATTAATAAAAATAAATAAGAATGATAATAATATTTTTTCACCCGGGGGGCTTGTCAGGGACCGAGGAGAATGTGTATGTGTGTGCATTCAAGGGGTGAGGGGGTAAAGCACAACTGGGCCCAGGGGAAAAGACATGATCTCTCTGTCTGTCTGTCTGTTTGTCTGTCTGTCTGTCTGCCGTACACCGTCCCAAGGGACCTGCACATTGGCATATTGCATTTTTAGATTGCAGTGTACGGCTGCCGGACAACCCCCCATTCACGCAGTTCGCGTTGTAACTTGCAACACCGCATCTCAGTCGACTGCAGCGGCAGCACTCGCAGAACTGGTTCAGGACGGTACTGCAATGTGGACCGGCAGCGGCCGGCAGCGGCACGGACCGCTTTTGTTTCCCTAACTAACCCTTAACGGTCCTTCACACACACCCTCAGTGACTGACTAACTCTGCTGAAAGGAAGCACTGTTAGGGGATGGAAACTTGGTTCCGGAGCGCATGGTTCTGGAGCGGGGGTCAGATGCGAGCAGAACATTCTTGTCAACTACCGCGTAAAGTCCTGTAAGACACTGATTAATGCCCGCTGGCTTCTGCGGGGAGTCATGCGCATGTGAGAGCCACATTCGGCTGTCCGTGCCTGCACCAGGACTCTTCCGTTTGTTCTGTGGCCTGACCTAGCCTGTAGATTCGCGCCATATCCGTGGGTTGCGCCAACCGACAACCGCTAACCTCAATATCATAATTTACATATAATTTATTATCCAAAGCAACTCAGCTGGCGAGGATGGGGATGTGCAGTGCTCTTGGGATGGTATGTGTGTATGTGTGTGTATACGTAGGGGGTGGGGCGGGAGACCTGGGGGGCCAAACGGGGTTAGCACGTTGGCGAGGGCGTAAGAGAGGGAGGGTGTGTCGGAAGGGCCCTATGCAAGGGACACCTCGTACCGCCCCGTACCGCCTCTTCATGTATAATGGTATCTTGCGGGGATGATCGTGGCCTGACATGTCATGTGCCGTACACCACCGTAGTGTGCCGTACCTTGACGTATCCTTCAATGACCTTTTGGTCCAGGTTTACGTCCAGCTCTGCGGGGAATACTCGGGAGATGAGACGTGTGCATGTGTTTTGTATTTTACGGAACCTGTGTACGGAAGGCCCCTTTGAAACCCACCGCCTCCCCTCACTGCGCCTCCTGAATCCCCATCCTCCAAGCTAACACGCCTCTTAAGAGGACTTCACGTCCTAGGCGCTGCCACCCCCATGCCATCTTCTGACACACATGTCGCCCTATGTCGTACTGTGCCGTACTATACTCACCAAAGGCGCTGTGGGTGACTCGGACTTGGTGGAAGTTACTGAGACTGGAATGGTCCTTAGCCATAGGTCCCGAAAAAGGAAAGCTGGGGCTGGGAAGAGTTGACGGGGAGGAGCGGGACTGAGCAGCTGCTGCTATTGCTGTGGAGGTGGAGGAGGAGGTGGAGGCGGATGTGGTAGAAGGGTGTGGCCGGGGGGAGGATGCGGGGTGAGAGCGCGATAAGCGCGCGCGCAGGCGGGAAGATGATAATTGATTGGACGTAGGTTTTATTTCAGCAGGTGTGATTGGGAGTGTATTAGAAGAGCTACTGGTGCGAGATCTATTAAAAAGGAGTTGAAGAGGCACCGCGCGGGTGCGACAGCGTAGAGCTAGGGCTGTGGTGAAGCTACCCAGCATGACAGAATGCTTGAACAAGCTACGCGACACGCTGTGCGCCTTTGACTGCACCGGAACGTGTGCTGCCTTAGGAAGTCTTTCGGAATGTTGCTTTGTGGAATTGGAGTTCTGCTGTACCGTACGTCATGAGACGGCTCCGGGCGAGTCACGGTCGCTGTCACGTGTAGCTTTCCATTCGTGTCCCTTTGGAAACTGGTAAGATGATGAAGCTCTTTAGGTGGCCATCAGCTTGAATGAAGTTTGTAAAAGCTCATTCTATTCTTGCCTCACATTGAAGTCCTTTTGGCGCTAAGAGCTCTGCATCAGTTGACTTTATGATAATAATCTTATGCATAAAAGCTACATCGTTTCGTTACAATAACGCTGAGCTGCTATACTTGCTTGAGCGTTCTTCGTGGAAACATGACGAGAGTTGGCTTTACATTGGTTCTTTCAGGAGTTGCTGATACACAGCTTAACACCGTCTGCAAACCCTTGAGTTTCATTTCCTCCATGATCTCGCACTACCCGGGTCTCGACTCGGCCATCTCCGCCTGCCTCGCCTAGCACAACATGTTGCAACCGCAGGGCGGCCCGGCGACCTGCCCCGCACTCCTTTATCCCCCAGCCGGTGCCCCACTTCCCCACACCGTACCGGCATGCCCCCCTTTCTGGCGCTCGCCGCCACACGCAGTCCCCACTTCATAGTACGCATATGCCCATCAGAGCGCTTCATCAGCTGCGTCATCGAGTAATGCAGTGCCTCGCGAATGTATGCCTGCCAAGCGATTAATGCGCGCTAGCTGCTGCGCCAAAGCCTGCCGGCAAGTCGAGTCCATCCGCTCCTGGCTGGTGACCGTCGGCGGACTACTGTATGTGGCATCCCCTGGCCCCGCGGGCCAGCCCGATCCCTACTGCTGCTAAGTCCTCTCTCGTGCAAAAAGCCTGTGTGGCAAAAAACGAAAAACCTGTACTGCATTCTTTTGTACGCATCCTTTCCTTCTCACCGTTACTACAAACCATCCGTATCCGTACCCAAGTCAAGCGAAAGATTGTACGATGTATGACATTGTACACTTGCCTTACCAGACACGCGGTAAACGACGACGTACGGCATATAAACGACAGCCTCAGGGTCCGTTGCTGCCACGGGTTATTACTGCAGGATGAATGCCGGTTGTGCCGCTGGCGGCGCGATGTCGTACTTCAGCGCCACCGCAGTCGGCCCCGCCGCCGGTGCTGCGGTCCCCGCCACCTCCAGAGGCACCTCAAAACAAATTTGTTCAAAGAGACACACGTCATTCTGCTGACAGTAGTACACCTTGGCCAAAACGCGCAGTAGCAAACGGTCGTAGCCACCAGGGGGTGACTGAGCCCGCGGCGCTGCCGCCGGCGACACAGATAGCGTTACGCTGGGCGCCACGCTGTCTGGTAACTGGCCACTTGCTGGCCGTACGACAGTAGCCGTGGCGTCAGCCCCCGGCGCCGCTGCCAGCACCTGGCAGTAGTAGCTACTGCTCGCCCCTGCCGTCAAGTGGTAGCCCGGCGGCAGGCCAACGGTAACCGTCAAGGAACTGCCGCTGGGGCCAACTGCCAACGGCTGCAGCGTGCGCACTAGCTGGAAGCCCGCCGGTACCGCCAACCCCGGCACCGTGGCGCCGGCAGCGATTGCTGCCAGCGGATCGACCCGTGGGTCAGGCACTCCGGTCAAGCCCAGCGTGCTGACGCGTTGCGTTTTTGGATCCAAAATCCGTACGGCACTGTTATTCGTATCCGCGATGAGTATGGTGCCGTTGGGGCCGCGGCACAGCCCGGCGGGCTCCGAGAACTGCGCTGCCGTACCGACACCATCCCGGAAGCCGGCGGCGCCGCTGCCAGCGAGCGTTACAATTTCATTGGTATTGGGATTCAGCGCCTTTATGCGGTGGTTGTACGAATCCGCCACGTAGATGGCAGATCCGTCAGCGGAACTCAGGACTGCCAGAGGGTGCTGAAGCAACGCCTCGGCTCCGAAACCGTCCTTGTCACCAAACCTGGCCAAGAGGGAGAGGAAGATGTGGGAGGATACCAAGGGAGGGAGGAACATGGTTTGTTATCCTCTTGGTGCTGATAATGTTAATGGTGTGATGGTGGTGTTGGAAGCGTTATGGCGCATTAGTTGGAATTTAGGCGATCTGATTCTCGCTCCTGCTTGCAGCTCTTGTTGCTTCCAGCTGAGAACTGAACATCATCTTCAACATGCGCCTGCTCCTCCTCCTCCTGATGCAGGCTACCCACATCCAGGACCCGCTCGCCCACCCGCAATGAAATCACCCCAACCCCCACCCCACACAGGAAACCTTCCTGGCGCCACCCTGCCACCCACCACAACCCACATCCCCCCCCCACCCAAGACCATCTCAGACAGCCCCTGTGCAACACACATACATACATGTGCATATGGATACATACATAGATACACACAGCGCGAAACTTACCTGAACAGGTTATCTGAGAAGAGCGGGTCTCCGCCAACCTTCAGTCCACTGCCGCCACTGCCGAGATCCAACACCCGGATCGTGGATGACTCCGAATCGGCCACGTACCTTTACTCGGGTGGAGTATGCGGGGGTATGGTGCAAGGGGGTAGGGGGTAGGGGAGAGGTAGTTTGGAACGGTAGGGGGGCCGCCACAAGGGTTTAGGACCACCCGGACCGAGGCCAACGGGGGCGCCACAAACCCTAGAGTCGCACACAAGCTGTATTTAGTTAGGGCAGTTAGGGCGAACTCCCAACGGCAGGCAGTAGTGGTACAAAAGGAGTAACAAAAGAAGCAAAACAGAAGAAGAAGAAAACTAAAAAGAAAAAGGAGCAGCAACATGAAAAGAAATGAAGGGGAATGACCCGACGTGCGCACCTGGCATAGCATCTCAGATATACACGCTACATACATACATACATACATACATACATACATACATACATACATACATACATACATACATACATACATGCGGCCAAACCCCCTTTGAAACCCCCGCCTTTCCCCGCAACTACCCCTCCAATAGTCCGATTGCTTCCGCCCAACCACACACAAACATTCCACCCCTCCTTCCCTCCAGGGCCTCACTCTGTGCTTCTTGTATGTTCTCTTTCCCATCTTCCCCGAACCATCAAGGCCCACCTCACGATTCACACTCCCCCCCCATGATCTCCTCGTCCCCAACAAGCACGTACACACACATATATATGTGTACATACATATGTACATACTGCGCAAGTTCGGCCCCGCTTTCCTCACATCAGTCCGCTGCCGTCCCCAGCCAGAGATAGGCCGCTGGGTTGGGCCCACGAGGTGGTGAAGGGCGTGGGGCCGTTCTGGTTCCGTTCCGCACCAGTGCCACTGAAGAGAGCGGCGGTCCCCGAGGAAAGCTCCAAGTCCCAGATCTGGTGCTGACCTGCCAGGGCGATGTAAAGGTAGTCCTGCGGGAGGGGGGGTCGCGTGGGGATAGCATGGGTGGGGTAAGAGGGGGGGAGAGGGGGGTAAGAGGTGGAAAAGGTATTGATTTTGGAGGGGGAAGGGACGGATGCGGTCGTAATGAATACGATAGGAGTTGTGCATTGGGGCGGGAGGGGAGGGGAAGGGGGGAAGGAAAGGAATAAAGGGAATAAAAACACCCCACGTCCGCCGCCACGAACTCAGCAGCGCGTGTTGCGAGAGCTTCGTTACTGATTTCTTACAGTGCCATGCGCTTGGTATGGGTCCTTTGTTAAGCACCCCCGGTCAGCCTCGTCGATCATAACCCCGGTCCGCTCCCTGTGCCCCTGCTCCCTGTGTGCCTTCCTTCGCCCTGCTCCTCCCCGCCCGGCCTCTCCCACCTGCCGGGCATCAAGCTCCACGTCCCAGGGGGAGTTGAGCGGCTGCGGGAGGAATTGGAAGACGGGTAACCAAGGAGCAGCAGCAGCAGCAGTAGCAATACAAGCGGTAGCAGTAAGTGTCGATGTTCAGGTTACGCCATGCGGGAAAGGAATAGACCCAACAAAGCAGCATACCAACCCAACCAAGCAAGCGCACATAAGAAGGCGCACATGGATAAATGAAGTTTGACATGAAAGAAAATATTGAGCGGAAAGGGCAACCATCATATCAGGTCGAGGATTCACGAGGACCCCGAGGCTGGTCTGCGGGAGGCGTGTGCGCCGCTTTCTCTAACCCCGGCTGCACTGCCCCCGCCTAGTGCTCCCTCCCCTCCTCGGCCCCCCTCCTTTCCGCCCCACCTGCGCCGAGCCCCCCCGGCCCCCCCGGTAGTCACGGCCCTTGCTGCCGTTGCCTGCCAGAGTGATCACTGTGTTGGAGGTCAGGTCACAGCACCGGACCTGCGGCAGACGGGATGGAGCGGAAGGGTGGGGAGAGGCCGAGGATTGACGTGCAGGGAATGGGGAGTGGGCATGTGGGGGGTTTACAAAGTGGCAAACCCTAGGGGCGTCCCGATGTGGGCTCCGGGCCGGGGCGAACGTGGACTGGAGGCCCCAAATCCCATATGGCGAGGGTATTGCAGTGTAGTGTAGTGTAGTGTAGTGTAGTATAGTGTAGTGTAGTGTAGTGTAGTGTAGTGTAGTATAGTGTAGTATAGTGTAGTGTAGTGTAGTGTAGTGTAATGTAGTGTAGTACATAGATATTTAGGTGCGTGCTGGCCGACAGAGGGCCAGAGGAGCAGTGCTTCGGGCGACACATGCACACGGGGAAACGTAGGGGGAATGGAATGGCGCTGTACAATGTGTGAAAAGGACTGCCGTGCTGACTGGCTGGAGTGGAGTGGAGCGGAGCAGAGCGACGCCTGCTGCTGCTGCTGCTGCTGCTGCTACTGGGGTGAGAGAGCAGGGCCGGAATGAAGTCCCTTCAGACACTGGCCCTGCCCCTCAGCCTCAGTCAGTCAGTGCATAGCCTGCTCCCCTCTCGCAACCAACCCCGAGCCCCGAAGCTCCTGCACCAAGCCCCCTCAGTCCCCCCTCAACCCCTACCGCATGGTTCTCCGTATCCGCCACAAAGAGCTGGTTGCGGCGGGGGCTGAACACCAGGCCTTGGGGCCGGTTGAACGCAGCGGTCTCGAAGGAACCGTCGCGAAGCGCGGGGCCATTGCCTGAGGAAAAGAGGGGGCGGGTTGAGTGCACGGAGGCGGTACGGCGGGAAGTGGTTCGCGGCGACGGCCCTACGAGCCAGGAGCCGGCAGCAGGGAGGGGGCGAAGTGCCCGGGGGGGGATATATCATTAACTCATCACATACACGCACAGGGGTTGGGCATACGCCGACACAGCGGCAAGAGGAGCCGCCCGATGGGCAGCTTGCGATGGGCTACGTAGGGTTTCTTCGGAACCTTTCCCACCCTCCTTCCCCCTGCCGCCTTTACGGTGTAATACCCCACAGGTCCCGCCCTGCTCGCCTCTCGTTCTGTCACCCCTGCGCCTTCTCTTCTCCCTTAGCCTCTCTCCCCCCCCTCCCCTTTTCCCACCACCCCACCACCCCACCCCGCTCACCCCCGATCTGCTCAATGAAGCGGCCATTGAGATCGGTTATAACAATACGGTGGTTGTTGGAATCCGAAACGAACAACCGGCCGCTAGACAGGTCAGAGGCGATCTTGCCAGGGTAGCGCAGGGGGCTGGCCACAGCGCTTTCCTGTGCATGTGTGTGTGTATTTGCCGGGTTGGGGGTGGGGAGAGGTTTCCCCGGCGATCCAGGTCAGGAGGAATAAGGGGGCCCAGGGCAGCGGCGGCGGCCTCGGTAGAATTTGCCTCAGGTCGTTGGGGGCTAATCGGCAACAACAACAACAACAACAGCCAACCATCAACAACCTCCTCAACTCAATACGTCCTCCCCCATCCCCCTCGTTCTCGCTCGTCGCGGGGTTCTTGGCTATTTACTTTTTGTCATTTTCCTGGCTGGCGAGCGACGGAACGGCACTCAGCGGCAATTTCCTGTGGTGGCATTTCTGCAGGCAGACTAACTTACGACATCGTAGGAGGGGGTTACCCTAAACAGCTCCGAGAAGGGGTTTACCGTCTTCGTGTTGGGTTCACGAGTCGCGTCATTTGTCGCATTTTCCAACGTAGACACGGCCACCCAGCCCACCCAACCACCCAACCCACCGGCGGCGTCTTGTTCCGTTCAAGTGCCAATGGAAGGGGGGTCGAGCCATCCAACTGCCCGGTCTCTCCGTAGTACTGCAGGGCCGCTGTGATGAGGTCCTCAAGATCCTGTGGGTGAGGAAAAAGGCGTGTACGGCACATGGGGACAGTGACTGGGGGAACGAACTGGGAAGTGGTGGCCGCAATGCGAGCGGTAAGAGGCAGGCGGGGGAGGGGGGGGAGGAGGGGCAGGAGGGGCAGGAGGGGGAGGGGGAGGAGGAGGAGGAGGGGGAGGGGAAGGGAGACATGCCCACGTGGGGGGGTTTGCCGTGTGGGGGTTTAGAGAACCCGCGTCGGGTGCCGCGGGGGCTGCCGTGTGGTTAGAGAACACTGGTTAGAGAGCCCCTGTTCGGCACTTTTACGGCTTAACCCCAAACCAAACAACCTCACGCAAATGAATGGACTCCATCACGACACTGCTTCGTTAGTCCTTTGACTTCTTTCGCCGTTTTCGCCCTCCGACACCCCGACTCCGACAGTCTTCAGCCTGAAAGCAACCCATGGAAACCCGGCTCCTTGACTCCCTATTCCATTCCAACCACCTAACCACCCTGTCTCCATTCCACCCTACCAACCTACCACCTAACCAACAAACTGCCCACCTGCCTATGGCCTTCCCCCGACAGCATGGCGATGAGCTTCCCCCCGGGAGACACAACCGCCAGAGTAGGCCAGGAGCTCACACCCAGAGCCGCCCACACGGCCATTCCCCGGTCGTTGACAACCGGATGACTGATGTCGTACCGAAGTACGGCAGCACGGATGGCGGAGCTGAGGGGATTAAGGTGGTGGCGCGTGGTGGAATGGAAAGGGCGTTGTGGGATGGCAATAGGGACAGGAAGTGTTGCGCGTTATAAAGGAAAGGAGAAGGGAAAGCTACTGAATGAGTGCGTGTTGTGGGGGCAGGGCGGGGCATTGGGATGGGCCTAACCCACCACCGCTGTCCAGTATTTTTCAGGTTCCGTGTTGCAACCGTGTTGTCGTGTTGTTGATGATCTTCTCAAGGCGTTTCATAAAACACACACACACATATATGCGTGCTTCACCAACAACCCTCATACAGGCAGGCGGGCGCTGATGCCCATACCTGTAATGCGTTGCTACCCAGGCCTACATACATACACATATACAAACACACGTACCTGTCTTTCTCGTTGTCAAATTTGGCGCTGTGGACTCCCACCACCGCCACAGGAGCACTTGCAAACTGGGTCTCCAGCTCGGCCAAATCCTTAGTAGGGAGGAGGGGGGAAAGATGAGAGGTTGTGGGCGTGGAATCTGAAACGATGGTGTGTGTGTGTGTGGGGGGGGGGGGGTCGAACGCGCCTTTCCAACAAGCTGCTATTGCTGTGGGCTTGGAAGCTAGGGTTAGAAGCAACCAAATGCAAGCTTCAACTGAACGACGCCCGATGGGAACAGAACCCGCCATAAAGGGTTGACCAGATGGGGGGTAGCATTGGCTTTGGGAAGTTTCTCCGCACATCGGGCCTTCTTTTCGTTCTCAGCCCAGCATGACGACCTATCCCCCACACCCATCTTTGAGCGCTAGAGTTTATTATATGCATATGGAGGTCCGCGGCGCGCGCACATTGCAAGCCATGGCCCTTCCGCCCAACAGTAACGCACACAGGGTTTTATAGACATACATACACCACCTCATAGCTTCCTTACCGCGGCTCCGTTCTTTAAAATATTACAGAACTAAACCCCAAAAGACCCGCACCGGAAGGGCGTGAATGCAGTTGATGCAGCAGTACGTCCAGAAGTCCAGCAACACCACCCTGCCCGCCAGGCTACCCCGGCTGGTAGGGGGTCCCGTAAGAGTGAGGGGCGCGGAGTTGAGCCAGTCGGCGCCGCGGGGGAAATCCGGCACCTCCTGTACGCATAGAGGTACACACGTGGAAACGCTTTTACAGACGAGGCCCAACCAGAAGCGTGGAGCTATCACACAGCACGGTAGTGTGCTTCGGGTAGAGTTGGGGTGAAAAAACTGGCAAAATTGGCAAACTTGCTTCACATGTTGATAAAGCAAGAGGACTGACTAACAGAAACAGGACTTACAGGACGTGCATGCACATCAGACCAGGTTGAGCTCCCATCGGATGAGGTTAACCAGCTACAGGTTGACAACTACAGCTCCTGTAAAAAAAGCACACATTTCACCTACATACCGAACTGCAATGATCTTTCCCGCATCCACCATCCTATCAATCATCTCTGCGCCGGCCCTGCCACGCACCCCCACCCACCCTGCCACCTCCCCGGCGCTCCAGGTCGGCAATGTAGCGCTTGAAGGCGGCCACCCTGTCACCACCGTCCAGGGATTCCGGGGCCTGTAATAGACAAACACACGCAGCAGCAGCCAAAAGTAAAGCAAGGAACGCAGTTGCGCCGGTAATTACCCCTTTCTAGCAGCGGTAATTAATGGCACAGACAAGGCTTGTGCCCTCTACAAGGCTTGTGCCCAGGTGCGCATGTAGGCATACAATCATGTTGATGCTTTTTATTGGGGATGGTTGCGTGACCCCAACCCAATGCGTAACCATGTGGAGCACGTCAGGCTCACGCCTGGCTAACCTGTCATGGGTACTTGTCAGCGAAAGCCAAGAAGCTGTCAGCAGGAATGGCGGATGATGCAGAGACGAGGATAAGCCATTTAGTTGTCTGCTACGCATCAGGATACCAATAGCAAACGACCTTAAACTTCAAAAGTTACATTTAATAATGGTGTGTCTCTCTGAGAAGACGTTATATTTTACATTTTATACTTCCATACTAGGCGCCGAGGTCGCGCGTTGCGCAGATCCTCAGCCTTTCAAAAATTTAGCCATGCCGGACACCCGAAGGGCCGACTACGAAAGGCCCTCGCACAGTGCAAGGCGAAGACCAATCAAACAACCGAGGCCATATGGACCACCTCGAGAAGCGGGCCAGGTAAGTATGCTTATACAAGACAGGCTTTAGGTAGGACCTCTATCGGCTGCATAATGAAGGAAACGTGTGCGCGATGGTGGGTCACATTACCTGCACCACCATCACCACCGGCCTTCTTCATCCACAATCCACAACTGACAACAAGCCATTTATTCTTTTAAACATGAAAACGACACTGACCCAGCGCGCTGGTGCACAGTGTAGATCATCGCAACCCTTCTTCCGGACCCCCGGCTTCACTGTCTGTATGCCAACCCCCATACCACCCCTCATCCGATCCCACACCCACCCTAGCACTGTAACCCACCAGCACCCCACCTTACCACCATCCCATTCGGACCCACCGGCGGCGGCATCAGCGCATTGATCAGCGCCTGCGGACTCGCGAAGGACATGGCCTTGGACCGCGTAGCTGCCACGTAGAAGCAGCCCGCGGCACCCGCAAGGGAGGCAAACTTGAGCAGCTCCCGGCGGGTGGTGCGGTAGCCGGCGGGCATCGGCACAGGTTGGTTGAGCCAGCCCTGGAGGGAAGAGGAAGGGGGCGTGGTTAGCGGTGGAGATAATATGACGGTTGTATTGTCCTTGATACCGTACGACAGTTGGGCCATGCGAGGGTTAGTAAGACGCATATGCGTGCGGATATCCAGAGCGAGATGAGCGCGGTTAACGAGGAATTCATGGTGAACCCTAAACATGTCAATGTAGATTGGAGAAGAGTTGAGAGGGGGAGGGGGCAAGGGACGTTCCAATCTGTCTGGCGTTGCGGTGGCATTGCCACAGCGATGCAAGGTACTAGGGTGCACGACTACGACATGTCATCCGCACGTTCCAATGTTATTCAGATGTATATAGTGCACGGTGCGGGTGTAGTGATTTCGCAGGCTTAACCCTCTGGCTCAGCTCACCCGCACAGCTCTATTGCTGCTGGTGCTTCCACCGCTGCTGCTAAGCGCGCGGCTGTCGGTGCTGGCTGGTTGAGGTCCTGATTGGCTGGATGTGGCTGGTGCTGTAGGGGCATGCTGTGATGTTGCGGTGGTGGGGATAGAGTCGGTCGACTTGGGCGCCGTGGGTGGAAGGATTGGGTGGGTGGTAGCGATGACATCGGCGGTTGAGGTGGAGGTTGCGGGTGCGCCAGCTGATGGCTCTTCTGGACTAGCATGACATACACGGTGTTTTATTATGCAGGGCTTGGACTGAAGAATCACACGCGAGGAGCCCCAGCGGCAGTGGTGATGCGCAAGCATAGCTTGGCGCTGCATGTTTTGATACGCTTTAGGACGATTACTAGTACTATGTGTAATATATAATGTATATTCAACCGGAATATACGAGAAACAACACGAGTGCCAGGGTGTGCGGTTCTTTGCTTGCAGCCCTCACAGCCAATCAAATGTTCATGTATTAAGCATCACCCCGCATTTTGCGCAAGTGACTTATGCCTTTGCATTTTATGCGTATATGGGAGATGGCAGTGAATGCCTACATCCCGCACTCACAACAGCAGGGCACAACAATGACTAACCGTAAACGATGACTTAAGGGCGCGGGGGGCCTCCTGATTCCCAGCACGTATCAAAATGCGCATCACCTGCCCTGCTGTTCATATTTTGTCATTAACACACGATCTTGTATGTTGACTGGTTTTTCTCTTTTCACGAATGTTTGCGGGAGTGACCCAACACCGTCTTGCTGTCCCTGCATTGTAAGGTCTTCAGCGCAGATGTCAACTTTATATTTCCACGTTTAGCGCTTTGACCAACAGGAAGGACAGGGGATTGCTGTGTACTTGTATCGTCATTTTCGCAACACCGTCCCGAGATGTCCAAACTGTTAGCCCAAGCAGGCAGAAATTTGCGTCGGACAGCCGTTGTATCCAACAAGCGGCCTTTTAGGTATGTCCTTCCTTTCTTACTATGGTTACTATGATCAACCTGCTTTCGGTTGCTAGGTTTGTTGTCGTGCGGTCCCAACGCCACCAACAGACAGTTCCCTGGCTTTCGGATACCTATGGAATCACAAAATCTTCGCAGCACGGCAATATCTTGTACCACCCATCGACTTGCTGCGCGATGCACGTTCGCTAAGCCACAGTCCTCAACCTCAACACTACGCGGGGTCCCTCCCTCACCCCCGATCGTCTCCCAGTGACACTTACCACCGCAACCCCGCTCCTAAGTTATCTATTTCTCCCACTTTTCCGTCAAATCTGCCTCCTGCAAATACGCAGCTATGAAAGCATCCTGATAGCGGCAGACGCGATCAGCGTGGAGCTATGCAAGAAGCTCCGAAACCCAGCCAAAACCGCCTCCGGCTCTGTGTCCGACACCGTTCTCGATACCCCGCCCCGCGTGGGGCTCTACGCTGCTCCGGGCCCCGAATACCTGGCGGCCACTTGGGCGGTGTGGCAGGCAGGCGGCATTGTCGTACCGCTGGCTACGTCGCACCCGCCGCCGGAGCTGTCATATGTGTGTCAGGATGCCGGTGTGTCGGCGGTAAGTCCAGGGAGGCAGGGAACCGGTTACATAGTGTTTTTGCTGTAAGAGGAGGGTTGCTAGCCATGTTGTGCTTCTACTGCACAAGTCAGCCTGACCACGTACTCAGGGTTGGCTGAAGCACATAATGCCTACCGTTTCAGGGCACTATCAGCCCCTCTTCCCGCTTGCAATACCCTGCTTCGGCCCCGTTGTCAGCTTTCCCCCCCAACACACACACACACACACACACCCCTCTTTTTTAATCCCCCTGCAGGTCCTCACACCCCCCGACCAAGAGGCTCGACTGGGCCCTATCGCGAGAGAACACGGTGCCGTGCTGCAGCTCCTGGAGCCCCTGACCGGCGGTAGCAGTAGCGGCAACAGCGGTGCCGGCCGTACTGTAGCGAGCGAGGCGGACGTAGCTACGGAAGAGGAGGGTTTGGTTTCGGAGCTGGGTGGTGATCTCAGCGGCAGTAGCCCCACTGGCGCCCTCATCATCTACACCAGCGGCACCACCGGGAAGCCCAAGGGGGCGCTGCACACACACAGGTGGGACCCTAGGGGGGCACAAGCCGGTACGTGTGTCTGTCTGTGTGTCTGTCTGTGTGTCTATGTGTCTGTCTGTCTATGTGTCTGTCTGTCTGTCTGTGTGTCTGTCTGTCTATGTGTCTGTCTGTTTATGTGTCTGTCTGTCTGTCTGCCTGTCTGTCTGTGTGTCTGTCTGTCTATGTGTCTGTCTGTCTCTGTGTCTGTCTGTCTGCCTGTCTGTCTATGTGTCTGTCTGTCTATGTGTCTGTCTGTCTGCCTGTCTGTCTGTGTGTCTGTCTGTCTATGTGTCTGTCTGTCTATGTGTCTGTCGGTGTGTCGTCGGCAGTTGAGCAAACTTATTGATTCTTGCTCATCATATGACTCCCTGCCCCGCCCCGCCCCGCCCCACCCCGCCCCACCCCGTCCCCGCCCCGCAGGAGCCTCCACGCCCAGGTAGCCTCCCTGGTAGCGGCCTGGCAGTGGCGCCCCGCCGACCGCCTGCTGCACTGCCTGCCCCTGCACCACATACACGGCATCGTCAACGCGCTGTACTGCCCCACA